CAACAGTCACAATAAAGCCGCTCACTTATTTCAATGCACTGAAAATGTATAAAACTTTAAAGATTTTCTTTAAAGAAATCAAAATACCTACATGTCATTTAGGAAATTAATTTTAACAGACATTTTGCTTTGACAATGAAATATTGATGTCGCATCAGTGACCCACATATATTACTATTTCCTTTGGGAATGGATTAAACCGATCTTTATGATTGCAATAAAACTGATCATCACAAATATACTTCCATCAATTATAATTTGTGTTTCCGTCTGCAGGAAAAGGCTGTCTGCGAGGCGTAAGCACACCCTGAAGGTAAGATTAACTTTAACCGATAAGCATAACAGAGCAAAACACCTCACACATGCCCATCTGCTCGCCTGTGCTTCCTCTTACCTGACATGGGGCGATGATGTAATCTCCTCAGGGTTGCATGCTCGTGGTGGCAGGTAATTTGTTGGACGCTGAAGCGACTGTGAAGGCCAAAGAGAGAGAGACGTTTTTGGCAGATAAATGTCCTCCTGTTGAGCTGCCGTACTCCAGGGACGAGCTGCTGGTGAGAAGAAACTGCGCCGTTTCAAACACTTATGCTTTTGACACGTTTCATGTTGCATTTTCTTTCTTTTGTGGGTTTTTGAAATTGGAAGCATCTAAAAAAGAAAAAACTTTTATCACTATGTCGACTTTAGGAACTGTGCCAGAAGCTTCATGAGCAGATCATCATCAGTGAAGATGAGAGATACGGCATAGAGTTCAAACTGAACATGGTGCTGAATGAGGTGAGACGCTTTTCATTGCACCAGGTTGGCCTTTTGTTCTTATTTGCACCGAGTAGAGATACTGTATCTATGTCTTTAACCAAACTGCAACAAACATAGGAAGCAGGAGGAAACAAAAAAAGACCAAAAAAGTATTCTGAACAAGTACCACATACCTGACTTCAAGTTTTTTTTAACCTTTTCAGTCATTTTTAGTTGCTGTTTGGTTATTTTCATGTTTGAAGCTTCCCCATCTTTTGGATTTTGGTCTGACACTAAGGAAAAAGTACATTACAAAACTGCTTACTTCAAATATAATATCATGCTGGCTCTGCAGTCCATCTGGGTGGCACTGCTCTGTGTACACAGGCCAGATGCACATGTAGTCGTCACCTTTTAGGGCTCCTCCCTGTGTCCTCTGCCCGTTGCTCCTCAAAGGAGCAGATACTGATCTTGCTGCTAGGCTGATGCTTGTCAGGCTTTCATTGAGTAACTGACCGTTTTCTGACTTCTCCTCCACACTCTTTAGACTTTGATGGTCTGCAGTTGCCGTGAATCGTATAGCAACATTAACTGGAAATATTTCACATCCTTATTCCTTCCTGTAGCTTTTCTCTCAGCATTTTAATTACCCAACAACACTGTTTTAAAGCTAGCGGCACATGGTGATGAATTCAGCACCAAACACCCTGCATGTCACTGCTGTTTGCTTCATGATTGATTATTTAATCTGTCAGGTCAGTAATTCTCAGAATCCTCCTTCAGGTCAGGGACCTCAATATCAAGATTGTGGATTTGAGAGGAAAGTTCAAGAGACCCCGGCTGAAGAAAGTGCGCATGTCTGCTGACGCCATGCTCAAAGCTCTGCTGGGCTCCAAACACACTGTCAACATGGACCTGAGGGCCAATCTGAAGCAGGTCAAGAAGGAGGTGAAAGAGGAGGTGAGCAGCTACCTGGTTCATTTGGTCCTCACTCAATAAAATCACAGATACCTGTGAGGTTTAAGTCCTTATCAGCGATGAGAAGTAACTCCACAGACAGTGTGCCTACTTTACCCACTGGTTGAAGCTAGAGCATTAGTATTTTTGCTATCTTCGTGCTGTTGTTACTATTAGCCCATATTTAGGCTAAAGGATTGAGTGCCAGCACACTGGGCCTCCCTGGGCTCTACAGCACAGCAGGTCTTAATTAACAATACTAAGACCTTCAATACTAAGGTGTCCACAGGGAGGCATCTACAGTAGCTCCACATGTGGCTCTGGATCTGCAGATTTGAGACCCCTGGTTTAGGAGGTAGAGTTTCTTCTCAACATCGAGGAGGACTTCATCCTCAGAAACTGTAGCAATCCATTTTCTGGCCACTAGGGGGCAGAAAAACCATCAAAACAAATAGTTGTTTTCTTGATTAGCAGCCTTTTTGCATCTGATTTCAGTCTGGACTAACAGAGCATCGTCTGTGTTTGCAGGACAAGCAGCTGCGTGATGTGGGAGACTGGCGTAAGAACATTGAAGACAAGTCTGATAGGAAGAAGATGTTTGATAGCTAAATGCGAGGACAGAAATCGGGTTTACTGTCTTTGTTAACTGAAGGGTTTTAATCCAAAGTGATGCATTTCCCCTTTAATTTTTACTTGATCTGTAGATCCTGATCTTAGTAAACATCATCTAAAGGCATATGTTTGGTGGAAGGTTATGGTGCTTACTAAGCTTCTGCTTTGGTACAGTATGTGATAAATGGCCTTTACTTTAATTCAAAGCTTGTGTTAAGGTGCAGTGAAATGTAGGGAATCTGTGATATGCGCTGATGCCAGTGAAGCATGGTTGTAGTTTTTGGATATCTCACTTTGATTTATACTCGTCACTAATCTTCCTTCATGCTTTAGCCTGTATTGAAACTGTACTGTGATATATTTGTACTGTGTTACAGTTAGTATGTGTCAGATAAATCAATTCTCTTTTTTCTCCTTTTGCTTTTACTAATGTGCCTACGATGTACGTTTCCTGAAACTGCAGTTTAGTGTCTGAGGTTAAAATCCAAATGCAATGGACGCATATTTTGCAAATAAATCATGACCCATATTCTAACTGGCCCAGCATGAATAAATGAAACACTACAACATGCTCTTTACACGCATTCGTTTGGTCAATCCTTCACTTCTCCCTTGTTTGATGTAGATTGTAGAACGTCTAGTCAAGTGTTTCGTGCCACTTAGCTGTCC